ATTGACTGTGTATGTGTTTGCTTGGGCACTTGTGTGTATGTGTGTGTGCATACCTCTATGTGTATATGATGGCTATCCATGTGTACATGTGATGACTATTAGGGTATCTGTGTTTACGATTATATTTTTGAGTACGTTCTGCCAACAGGAATGTGGTGTACAAGTCCCTCCCACACTGCACTGTGCAGATAAAACTAGGAATATTTGTGGCTGGGGCAAGTATTAAAACCACCCCAGGGACAATGGACATAAAAGGTACCCTCTTGGGGGGAGGAGGAACAGGGAGGAAAGAAGGAAAATATTCCCTTAGGAGGAGGGGAGGTAAAGACCCTGTGCACTGGTCCTTGTGGCCAGAGATCCTGAGACACCCAAAGGCCACTCACTGCAAGAGAGGCTACCTCAGTGAGAGGAAGTAGGCCATTCTTTACTAATTATTATTGCTAGGTGCTAAGGTCAGTCACGTCTTCACAATCAGCATCCAAAAGGCCTGCTTAGATTGTAGGGAAATAGAATGAAAAGTTATTTAACAAACAAGATGTTTTGGGGAAAGGGATTGATAAAAGGCTTAGAGATGCTCCCCCACCCTCACACCAAACAACCACCACCACCATCATTAACGTATGATGGCTACAGCTGGAAGGAGCCTTCAGCACCATCCAGCTCAACTCCTTCCTTCGACAAAAGAAAAGACCTAAGGACCCAGAAAGAAGAAGTGATTTACTGAAGGACACAGAGAAAGGACCGCTGATCTCTGACTGAAACTGAGGCTGAGCTGAGGTGGAGTCAGGTTTGAGTCCAAATCTCAGAGGCTCACAGAGTGCTGGAGACCTTACGGACCTCAGGGACCCACCTTGTCCAACCCCCTTCATTTTACAGAGGGTTCCAGAAGCCTAGGGTCAGTGTTCAAGTCGGAATTAGAACCCAGGGACTGGCTCCTTATCCAGCATTCTTTCAGCCAGACTGCTAAAATGTGGGCTACTCGGGGGCACAGGCCCTTTCAGAGCACTGGCCCTTGGTTTCATGATTCTGGAGGAGCAGCTGAGTGAAAAGGAAGGGCCCCTTCCTTATCAGAGGTGCATTCTGGCTGCAATTTCATCCACTCCAAGGAGAGCAGCCCAGCAGCCTCTTTTAGGAGGAGTGAGGGCCTGGGCCAGCTCTAATTTGGGAAGATCACACTTTCCATGCCCCATCCTAGGCTGCTGCTGCCTGCACTGACCCAGCAAGGGCTGAAGCTCCTTCCCCTGGCCCAAGCTAAGCCAGAACTCATTTCACCATGACCTGTGCCCTCTCTCCCTGCTCTTCAGGGTAATCAATGTCACAGCCAGAGCTGAATTTGGGCTACTTCCTCACACCAGCTGGTTCCGGGCCACCCCGGTACCGGCTCAGACCAGACACATCTCTGCCTTTCACCCAGCTCTGCTCTGTTAGTACTGGCCTCCACTCCCCACCTTCTTCCTTAGAGGACTACAACAAATAATATAAGTGCTGGCTCTCTAAATTTCACACCCTAGGGAAAAGCTCAAGTAATCTCCTAGCTTCTGCCTTAGGTCCTCTGTAGTACACACGTCAGTCAGGGGGCTCAGAAGCTGATAAGCTTATGGAATTCTTTCATTCACTGTGGTTCCTTTGCTAGCTCAAGGCCCCGTCCTCAATAATACTGCATGGTCAGTAAAATTTGTCTTGGGGGCCTGCCAGCCTCTCTCTCCATCCTGCCCTTCCTCCTCCACCTTCAGTTCCCCAGGCCCTTCACTTTCTCCTGCTTTCTTCCCCTCTTTAGGTCCCTAGGGCTCACATTTCCCTGACCCCCAAACTGTAATCAGGAAGGACTTGAATCTCTTTCCTCTAGCTTCCTTTCCCCAGAACTGATTTCAGCCTGAGTTCTCCCCAAATGGAGAGATGCTCTGGCCCCTTGAGAAGAGATTCTAAGTCCATTAAGGAGGTGTTTTCATGAGTGAGGAGGGGTGGAAAGGGCAAACAGAAGACCTTGTATTAGAGTGGAATGGTGAGTGTTGGGGGTAAAAGGAGGCTATTTCCTAAGGATCTTGAAGTAATGATGGTGATGATGATGATGATGGTGATAATGGTGGTGGTGGTGGTGGTGGTGATAATGACGATGATGATAACTACTAATAGCTAGTGTTTATATAGAACTTTAAGGTTTGCAAATCTAATTTGATCCCCAGTAGGTGCTATCATTATTACCCCCATTTTAGAGATGAGGAAACTGAGGTTGACAAGGGTTAAGTGACTTGCCCGGGATCACACAGTGTCTGAGCTGGAATTTGAACTCGGGTCTTCCTGACTCTGAAACAAGCACTCTGACACACAGAAGGGGAATATGTAGCCAAAAGAACACTGATACTGAAGTCAGAAAAATCTCAGCTAAATCCTGTGATCAGGAGCAAGTCACTTAACATCTCTGAGACTTTTGATGATCTCCTGCTGATTCCAGGCCAGATGGTAAGCTGGGGGCGACCCTCTCCAGAGGGTAGAAAGGCCTGGGAGAGGAAGCTTCTCAAAAGTTGGAATAACTTCATTTTTGTCTCTATATCCCCAGTGCCTTATAGAGTACCTCGCAAATAGGTGCTTAGCAAATGTTTGTTGAATGATTGATGACAGCCACAGGACTCTCTGGTGACAGTAGGGAGGTGCTATTTAATATTTTCTTTAATATCTAATTTGTTTAGATATTTAATGCATTTTTATTACCATTTCATAAATAAAAAATGTCATTTACTATGTAATGAAATGCAAGTGTCATTTAACAAATAATATTCATTATCTAATAAATACTATTTAATAAGTTAAAGGCATGTTATTATTCAATTTAAAATTCATTAAATAAACTTAATAAATTATTTAATGAATCCCCCAGCAGAATACTGAGGGAAGGAAATGTTCCTCACCCCTTCCCCAGTGAGCAAGTGGGCCTCATTGGGTGTCCAGAACTGGAGCAAAACCCCCTCTACGTTATATGTACTTCCAGTTCTGCTAGTCCTGGGCACTACCTTCTTAATGCAGCCTGAGACTCACATTCACTGCTTGGCTGGTATCACAATGAAGTCCACTGTAACTTTGAACATTTTCTTCAGATGGCTTGCTACCCTCCATCTTAGAGTTGTGAAGGTAATGCTTTGCACTCAAGTATAAGACTTGACATTTGTCCCTATTAACTCCAACCTCTTTGATTCGGCCCACCGTTCCAGCCAGTCCAGACTTTTTTAGATTGCTCATTCAGTGTGCTGGCTACCTCACCCATTTCTACATCATATGCAAACTTGGCCAGCATGCTATCTATGCCTTCATCCAAGTGATTGGTAAGAATGTAAAATAGCACAGATCCCTGGGGCACTCTACTGGAGACAACTTTCCAAGATGACATAGAACCAGTAATTACTAATCTTTTCCATTCAACCAGTTCCAAATCTATTTAACCATACGACCTTTGTAGCCCTCAGAATTTTTCACAAAACTAGTGTGAGAGCTTTTAACAAAGCCTTCTCAAAAATCTTGGTACCCTCTACATGTGGCCTAGCATCCCTGACAAAAAAAGAAATGTAGCAGGGCATGACCTGTTCTCCAAAGAGGTTTAATAGTTCTTTGCAATCACTGCTTCCATTTCTAAATGTTCACTCATCAGCCCTTTGGTAACAGGTTGTAGAATTTTGCCAGGAACCCAAGGCTACGGAACTAAAGTTTATAGATTCCATTCTCTTCCCTTGCAACACACACCCATCACTACTTCATTCAAGGGTAGAAAATGTCAGTTCTTGCTTTGAAGGGAAAACAGTTGCATTTCTCTCCTAGCAGAAGAAACAAGAGAAAGCAGCCATGGTGTGGGGGAAAGAACATGGGGTTGGGAGGCAGTACACTCAATATTAAGTCCTGACTCTCATTGACTCATGGTATGATTCTAACTAGGCAAGTCACCACCTGGCGCCATCAGGATGGCCTCTCTCAGCAGGAGGATTTCCTCTGCAAAATGGAGCCATAGGACTGGAAGCCGTGAGGCCCCTTAGAAACCATCTAGTCCGAAGTTAGAGCTAACATTCAAATCAGCTGTGTTGTATTTATCTTCGTTCTAGACTCCCAGCTTCATGATGGTTCACATATCTTAAACTCAACTCTAAATCCCACTGTGCCACGGTAGTTATCTGCTCTATATATTTACTGTGAGAATCAAATGAACTTGTGTGTACGTTCTTATTAACAGCACCATCCCTGGGACGCAGAGGACAGCTATTATTAACAGTATTATCTTTATCTCCAAGTCCACCTGCACTCAAGCATATCGAGGGGTGAGCCCCTCTTGAGTACAGGAGTCAGAATTTCAGTGTACTTCATACCTAATAGCTGTCTCAGTATTTCTAGATATAAAATGTAAGTTTCTTTTAATACAGGGATTGTTTCATTCTTGGTTTTGTATCCTCGAGGTCAAGCACTACACCTTGCAGACAGTGGGTACTTATTGTTTGTCTTGTTGAATGGAATGGAATAGTTAGAATTTAGCTAATGACACTGTCCAATAGATAACCTGAGTTAACCTGGAGGAGGGATTAGAGAACGAAGACCAATCTCTGAGGCCCAGGGCCCAGAAATTTCCCAAGTGCCATTAGAAAGGGGGCTTTTCACTTGGAGGTCTGTGAATTTGTTTTTTAAAATAATTTGATAACTATTTCAGTATTATTGATTTTCTCTGAAACCCCATTTTACACATTTGAAAACTGTGAGAGCTTTGTAAAACTGCCAATGGCATCCATGACACATAGTTAAGATACCCTTGGGTATCTTAGTTAAATTTTTAGTTTTTACTTTAGTTAAAACTAAAAATAGTTAAGAACCCTTGGGCATTAAAATATCTCCAGCAGGCCTTGATGTAACAAGGAAGGCTGGGCATGAGATAGCGGGGGAAGCAAGGTAAGGGGGATATAAACCTAGTAAGAAATCAGATGAAAGAAAAAAAGGGAAGAAGAAATAAATACTGGAAACCAGCACAAATGTATGAGGTATAAAAATTTGTATTTATATTACAATGAAAGACAGATACAACACAATACCTTTGGTGGGAGCTGCAGGCAGCAGCAAGCACCAGGAACGTGTGTACAAATGAATCTTTACAATATAATACATCTTGCCACCTACAAAGCGTTCCTTTTCAGGTACATATTCAAAATATCTCTGGCACAGAACCTGCCCAGGGCACCTCAAGAAATTCCCAGTCAAGTGATTCCCTCTTCCCCTCTCCCCCACTCCACACAGCACCTCTGGTGTGGCTCTTTGATCAACACGGCCTGTCTCTCCACAGAAGCCTCCATGATGACTTCTTGTGGCCTCCTTCACACCTAGGAGACGGTGCAGCTTTGTAGGATGAAGGACTGCAGGTCCAGGACCCTTCACATAGGTGTGGAGTGGGGTCAGCAAGGGTGTCCTTTAGGGAAAGCTAAATCACTAACCAAGCTAGCCAAATTGGGTCTCTTGAGAGTTTCCACTCCCAGGCTTCCTGTCTCCCTTGGCATTTTTTTTTTCAGGGACCTGCCTGGGAGGTGATTTTCTGTATCTCTCACATAGAAACCCAAGATTTTGGAGCTAAAGGGGCTCTCAGAGTTAATATAGTCCAACCTAGATGGGGACATACCAGCCACTAACTTTCTTTATCCCTGGATCCTGCTCCCCTTTGTAAGAAGGGTAACAAGAAAAGAAGCCTAGAGAGGATAATGGAGCAAACTAGATTTTATACTGACCATGAACCCCCTTTAAAAAAGGGACCACTTTTAAAACACCAAACTGAGACATTGTTCTACACAAGACTCACTTTCTTCTCTCCTATCCTGGTCTGAAAAGATGGGAGAAGGTGGGTCCTATATTATCACACAAACAGACTCCAAAATCCACCTTGGGAAGAGTTTCCCTAAAGAACACCATATCTGAGGCCCTTCCTTCACTGGTGTTTGAGATCTAGATGGCTGTGCACTGGCAACTGCTCTCTCGACTATAGCTTGAATGACTGGGGGAATTTCTATTTTATCCAGAGAAAATATTTTGTAAGAAGACGATAGTAGGTGGTGATTAAGGAAACCAGAAAATGAACATTCTGAGTAAGCACAGACCATGCTCAGGGCAGTGAGACTTGCCCTGGGGCACTGTCTGCTCAGCCTCCTTGTTCACTGTGTGCCCAGGCCTCCTTTCAGGAAGGTAAGAGAGGTGAGCATGGGAGGGTTTTAATCTCTCTGTGTTCTTACACATGGCTTTGTATTTTGGTTCACTGATAAATGGGTTTGATTAAAAAAAAATTAGCAAAAAACAAATTTAAATGTAGTCATGATTCATGATCAAATTTGAAAATTCTGTGTCCTGAGCACCTGTAAATTTCATTGAATTGAGTTTGCAGCCATGCTGCACAAAACTATTCGGAGAGGTTGGGGGTACGATGACAGTCACTCTCAGGGCCACTGTGTCTATTCCTAGCATGTGTGCAAATGGTAATTTTTCAAAGTTCATTCATTTACAGAGTGTTAGGTAAGGGATAATTTGGGCTGTGTAACCCCAAGGCCCTTGTGGCCAATGGGGCTTCCTGTCCTGTGCTGGTTAACCCAGCTAGTAACAGATCCTGGTATGAAAGTGTCCAAGTGGAATTAAACTGCCTTATTTGAAGCCAGGCTACCCTTCCCACAGGCAATCCCTGCTTCTTGGTACCAGATGGCAGAAAAAGACAAAGGGTCATAGGGTTTTCAAACTTCGAGGTCATGGAGTCCTCAGTTTTACAGATGAGACAGCTAACCCCCACAAATGGAATGAGTTTCCCAAAGTCACAAATAGAAAGTGGTAGACAACACTCGCAAATATGGGCAAAGGAGAGAGAGTGTACAATCAGTTACATTCAATTTCCAGATGCCAGACTAGTATTTTTCTATAATAAAAGTTGTTTCTAGACAATCCCAAGTCCAATAAGACAAAGAGTCACTCCTCAAAGTCACACCTCCCCCATACCATTATTAAGCAAAAATGTTAGAAACCTATAGAATAAAGAAATTGGGGGAACCCCAGTTGCCAAATCACAGTGGGGCAAGGGGGTTGCCCAAATTAATGACCAACTTCCAAAGAGGGAAAAACAATTTGTGCTCCACATTGCTGTGCCCTGCAAAACCTGGTAGCTCCAGGATGGGCTGTGGATTGAGTAGCTTTGGAATTCTCACTCTTTGGGAACCAGTTGGGCATTAAGAGAGAAATGAGTAGGAGAAGGAGAGACATACTCTCACACCTCTGACTTCTGGGCTTGGCAGTATTTGAGACAGGATTGATAAAGTCAGGACAATTGGGTTTTGCAAGATCTCCCCAAATCAGCATCTACATATTCTTGCTGGGGGCAGAGGGGATGTGTGTGGAAGGGACACCAAGAAGGGACTATTTCAAATTCGCATTCAATGACAATCACATTCATTTTTTTAAAATCTCACCCATCCCTCTGTTCATTTAAAAATTTTCATTTATTAGCAGGTTCTGTGCAAGAGGGTCTCAGGAAAGGAAACACTTTACAATTCAGGAGCATGCTCATTATAGAACGAATGAACAGCCAACAGTTGATCCAAACCTCACTGTGGATGACATGCCTAACAGTCTTGTGTGTTACTTAAAGTAAACTCATGATTTTGTTTCCATGATTTGGAAATCAGTTATAGAGGCACCAAAGGAGCTAGGTAAAGTTTTGCTGTTTCTCAGCTACCCACAATATAAGTCTATTGCTGTGTATTTTCCCCCCCGACAAACGAGGATTTTAGTCATCTGCAAGGTATATTGAACGTAATACCAAAACCTGCATCACAGAAAAGGTTAATGGTTTTCAGAATCAGCTGCCAAAGTTGATGATCCAGAGCCCTTCTCCGCCCCCACCCCGAGCTGATGGAAGGGGTGCCTGTGAGTCAGGTTACATAACTGAAAGGGGACCTTTTTCTTGTTAGCAAGATTCCCCCACTGTGGTAAGTAAAAGCGCAACAAGGCACCACCCTCCAAAAAAAAAAAAAGCTGCCATAAAATGTCTTCAGGTTTCTACATCCTGTACTGTAAAAGCAGTGGGAGGACACGTACATTGGGTGCTGAATGAACAGCTGGGTCTTTGTCTGAGGACTGAGGGTCAGTATTGTGAGGACTGCTCAAACACTACAAAAAAAATAAATCCAAGATGGCAGCACCGTGACAAGTTCTAGGATGTGATACAGTACAGTAATGTGCTCTTGTTTCAGAAGCCAATGAGTTTCTGTCTCACAGAGATCCCAGCTTTATAAGCCACTCCTATAACAGGGCTGTGTGTGCGCTTAAGAAAATGAGCTAGACAGGGAACCCTCATCTCCCTCCCGTTCCACCATCCCCATTTCACAGGGACGCAGGAGGAGAGGAAGAGGTCCCCAGCTCTGGCTAATTCCTGGGAGGGGAGACTGAAGGAAACCTGACCGCTCACATGGAGGACCACAGAGGAAACCACTTACTCACTTGGTCAGGCTTCACTGTCTTTTGAATAATGCAAAGAGAGGGACACACAGTCACCAAGGCACGATATGACAACGGTGAAGAGTCCCTGGGACTCTGGGTCTGTACCACTCCCTCCCAATGCAAGGAAATGAGAACATTTAGGAAAATATAATACAAAATCTCTTACAGGAAATATAGACTACACTTGCTAAAACCACTTATCTAAAAGTGTTTATAGCCATTTTCTTTTTTTGTTTTGTTTTTTTTTGTTTTGTTTTGTTTTGTTTTTTTTGAAAAGACCTTCTCTAATACTAATGCAAAGACTGGTCCATTTTTTTCTTACCCAGCAAGCCAAGCCCTAATGACTTCACTAAGCAGAATTTGTATTAAAAAATACATCTTCATAGTATTGCTACAACATGGGTAAATATGTTCAGAAAAGCTGGACAAATGCTATATAAGTTGGGTTGTTTTAAAGCATAACTTTTTTTTTTGCATTTTTTAAGAAGAGAAAAATGCTGTTACATGGTGTGCAAAAGGAGAAAACTGATTTACTTGTCCTCTAACAGAATACTGGAAATAGGAGCTGGGCCTTTCCCACCAAAGGTAGTGGCTGCTGAAAAAAAAAAAAAAAGGAAAAGAGAAGGGGCCTATCCACCTTCCCCATGCCTATGTCTCCAAGAGTCGGCACTAACATGGAGTCTCTAAGCTCTGGAGGATTAGGCAAGAGCCATGAAAGGAAGGAAGTGGGGCTCCCTGGCTGTCTCCGTGGGAGCTCACTCACGAGGCCACCCTGCCCCGCCGACCAGACAAAGAGAGCTTTGCTGCCATTAGGATGCTAAACACGCAAAGCCAAAGGCCACTCAACATCCCTCATGAAGTCATTCTTTAACCTGGCTTTCCATCCACCCAGTCTGAAGCACAGTGGTCACTAGTTAATAAGGGAGTGATCTCAGAGCAAACCTCGGTTTAGAGAGTGAATTAGTAGGGTGGGATTGAAGGGAGGGGGTTCTGCCTTTCGTAAAACTGTGGGAAGAGTTTCTACTACACAATCTTAAGTTGGCCATGACCCATTCATCATTTCTCAAGGGCAAACAAAGCTTCCAGAACACTAATAGGCTAGGAGGTGCTGTTGGGGCACCTTCTCCTCCCCGAGGAAGGAGCTGGCCCACAATCCCAGCATCAAGTCCAGTCACTTTTCAAGATTTCCAAGGGGTCTCTCTTGGTTTCTTTCATTTTCCTGTTTTTTGGTTTGCTTTTGGTTTCTTATTAAACTTCTTACACCGTCATGCATATTTCCAGCAATCACATTTAATACTTCTTCAATGGAATGATTATGACTTTAAAAAAATTTATAGTTACAGCTACATCAAGCTAACTTTTAAGTCACAACTGTACCTAACCATGGATCTCTGCAGTAAAAACCGGGGTGGACAAGAGCTACTTGGTGTGGTCCCAGGGCAGGGAACCAGGGGTTCAAAGCCCCCGCTTCTTCAGCAGAGGCCAGTGGCTGGAGTTTCCTGGGAGAGCCACAGTGGACACGGGTAGAATTGGTCTTCGGGCTGAGTGCTTCAGTTGGATGCTCCGGAGGTGGACGGGGTCAGGGGTGCTTGCTTGGGCCCTACGAGAGCCGGCCCGACAATCTTCGGGAGTGGGAGTAGCTGCTGTCGCTGGAGCCGCTGCCCAAACTGTAGTGGTCATCGGCATCACTGGCACTCCCAACACTGTCCATTTCCCCTGGGGTGAACTCCATTCCTTCAATGTCCACTTCTATATGGGAAGAGACAGCACATGTTCATAGGCATGAAAGCACAAAGAGGCCTCAGAAGACATAAATCACAGGCTTTAGAGCAAAAACTCCCAAGATCATCTAGATTGAATCTCTCATTTTGCAGATGAAGAAAATGAGATCCATAAAATTTAAGTGACTGGCCTAAGGTCACCTGGTTCATCAGGATCATAGTACTTAGAATGAACCAGAAGTGACTTTAGAGATCCCTCTCATCTAAAAGGCCAATTTTACAGATGAGGAAGGCCTCTGTCAAACAGGTAGTAAACAGTCACGATGGGAAGGACTCAGCTCCAAAGGCTTTTCAAAAACCAGGGCTCTACCCATCACCTCTTCCAGGCCACTATCAGAAGAAGGGGTATTCTCAACTGAAAAGCCTGCCCCAGCCTTATTCCCTCCCCGGCTCATCCTCACCCCAACTCCAGCCTGACGCCCAAGGTTCTACCCACTTGGTGGAGGCTAGGCCTGGCCTGATTAGTTCGGAGTCTAAAATCACTCCAGGTCACCCCCAGAATAGCAATTGGAAACAAGTAGCCTTACTTTGGTGAGGGCGTCATTTTAGAGAACCAGACAGCCTTTGAGGCCAACCACCACTTAAATTGAGAGAGTATTGCCTAGTGCGGCAGTTCTCCAAGTACGGTGCGACCCTTTCACGGAGCCTACAAGTTCAAAACTATTTTCATAATAATATTAAGATGTTATAATATCTAATATGGTAAATACCAATAGACATAACCTACATAAACAAAAGCATTTCAGAGAGAGGGAGGATCCTCAATAATTTTTAAGCATATAAAGGGGTTCAGAGACCAAAAAGTTTGAGAATCACCGGCTCAGTGGGAAGTATGCTGGACGGAAGTGGGATGGGGTGGGGAAGATGTATCAGAAACTATGGCTTCACCACTTATTAGCTGCATAACCTTTGTCAAATTTCTTTATCCTGAGACTCAGTTCCTTCATCTGTCCAATGGGGATAATACCTGTCTTACCTCCCTCTCACAGAGTTGTTGTGGGCCAATGTGTTTCAGAGACCTTTAAGTTACAAACCATTATTACTCAGCCAGCTTCCAGCCAATAACTAGCTGTCAAACTTCAGGTGACTCCCAACAAGGCGCCAGGGAGAAGAGATCTCAGAATGATCATGAGGGTTATCAGTCCAAGGAAAGGCAGAGTGGCAAATGGGACTCAGTCAGGTAGACCCAGATTTAAGAAACGTCGTGACTGGGTGACCCTGGGCCGGTCACAAACTCTCAGTATCTAGGCAACTCTCTGGCAGTATAGGAAGTCTTGTCAGAGGAAATTAGCTTATTACACTCATGAAATCACAGACTGAGGGGGAAAAAACCAACAATTATCATCACAGGGAAGGGGATGCCTACAGATGAACCTCCTGCCCAGCCCAGAAAGGTGCTTTTTCTCCTAAAATTCTGGCACAGGCCTCTGAGCTAGGTAAGGTCCCAGTCTATGCCTCCTATCCGTACTGCGTTACACACTCGGAAACTGACCTTGCTCCGAGTCCGTGGAGATGGTCGAGCCGGTACTGTCAGTGCGCACGCGTTCCATGCCCTGCACCGAGAGCTGCTCCAGGCGGCGTTTGAGGTAGCGATGCTCACGCTGCAGCTGTTCCTTCACGTTCAGGGCTTTACGGTCCTGTTCTTCTAATTTCTGAGTTGAGACAGAACAGGGTAGGGAGGAGGAGAGGACCAGAGGACCAGGAGAGGGAAGAAATGAAAGGATAAAGGTCAGCTGAGCCATGGGGTTAGACCGTGATGGCCCCACCTATCTCAAACTCAAAGCACACCTCACAAGCACAGGACCAGCCCAAGCCCTAGACTTAGGGGCCTTACTTAAGTTTCCCCTGGATCATCGCGAAAATATTGGGCCCAGGGTTGTACTCCATCTATGAAAACAACAGAGAGCCAATTGGCAATTCAGAGTCAGAAGCAGAAGGGGGCAATGGCAAGTTCCACAGAGACCTGATGGTTTTCCCAGATGAGACCCACCCATAACACCCTGCAGCAGCCTGCAAAACTTCATCATCACCATCACCAAAAACAGATTCTGGTTTAATACTCAAGAACCCATCTCCTCCACCTTCTCTATCCCTCTCCATGGACAAAAAATCATGGATGATTCCTACTTGGCACAATCTCTTCCTTGTCTTCTACCCTCACACAGCCCACTGTCCTTCACCTTCTCCAACTCCAGCTATAAGCCTGGGCATTAAGAATTTACAATGAGTTCTAGCTACGTCCCCTTCCCCATTCCTACCCAAAGGCCTGGGTTTACAAAGTCAAAGTTTACAACCGACTCAGTCTCCTCTACCTTGTCAGAGCAGAGACGCGAGGCCGAGCAGTGAAAGGAAAGGGGAGAAAAGAAGGCAAGAAGTGGGTGGAAATCAGATTTCAGCAGAAGACCATTTCCCAGACAACAACGGAGTACAGCTGTCATTTGCTGTAGGATGTTGACAGGAATCAGAGATGACAAAGAAAAGGCAGGAATGCTGGAGCTCAAATAAGGCCCCATTCATGAGTCTCCAGAGAAAAAGCCAGCTGAAGCACAAACTCCCTGAAGGTAGGGACTTCTGGTATGTTAGCACGGTGCCTTGCACCTGGTAAGTGCTTAAGAGCTGCTTGTTAAATTAAATGAAAACACCCTGGCCATGGCAGTCTGCAGCAAGCAGCACAGGGAACTGAGGTTTAACTGAGTGTAATGGACATATCAGGGAGGGGCCACTGGGACAAATGATGGCGCCCAAAGAAGCCCCAATACCAGCTCTCAATTCTACATTACTAATGAAGTTGCTTTAGGCTACCACTCCTTATTGTCGAGATTCCTTTGATTCTGATACTGTCATGAAAGAATATTGCATGTTTTAGAGACTATTTTAAGTAAACCCCCCACCCCAGCCCACACCTTACAAATGGGGAAATGAGAGCCCAGAGACTGAGGAAGTGACTTGAGAAAGGTCTCACAGTGAATGTGCTCTCACCTTTTCTTCTCTGCTTCATGTCATTTGCAAATTTATTCAGCAAGTCTTTTCTTAATCACTGAAAAATGTTGAGTGGAGCATCGCGGGAGGGTGGCACAGTGGTGTGGCAGCCCGCCTGGCCTTTACTTTGTACTTCTTCTGAAAATCTGGGCTCTTGTTTAGTTCCTTGCAGCTAAGCCACCTCCTTATTAGGGGCCCAAGCCCTGTGAGGCCCTTGCTCTGGGCCCAAGTTCCTGCCTCAGCACCTTGCCTCATACCCTGGTTCCTCTTATGTGGCCTTGCTTTGTTTTTAACAGTCCTCCCCAAGTATGGAGCCCTGACTTCAAACCCCAGTTCCAATGGATACCTAATATTATAATGGGATACCATTGTAAGCATCCTGCAATCACTGCTAGCTGGTAGGGCCCCATGCCATCTGACACAGACATAGCCGAGAGAACAGAGGATGGCTCGGAAGGCCCTGTCAAAGGACACAGTTATCATAGTGATGTACATTAATCAGCCCTTTGGTGTCTAAGAACTCAAATGGCTCTCAGCACAGCCCACTACATGCCCCCTTTCCCCAGGGGCATACATAAAACATAACACAAATACAGCCATGCAGGGAAAGTCACTACTATACCCGGATTCCCAGAGCAGTAAAGTTCTCCCACAAAGAGGTCTCACACCCGGCCCTCTTGTTCTCCCTCCTGTCCACACACCCAGTTCTACAGTGACAGCAAAAAGATCAGTTTGGCCACCTCAGAGGCCTGGGCTCTCCACAGAATCACAGAGCCTCAGGGCTTGGGAGGACCACAGAGATCCAGTCCAACCCAGACCTGACCATTCCAGGAATCCTCATTCTAGTACCTTCAACCAGTGGCCTACTAACTTCCACCTAAAGACCGCCAGTGACAGAGAACTCATTACTTCCTCAAGAAGACCATTTCATTTTTGTACACATCTAATTCTTATGAGACTTTTTCCTTAGACTGAACCAACATATGCCCCTCTGACAACTCGTACTGTTCTGAGTCTTGCCTGGGGGTCCAAACAGAACAAACTAAATCTCTCTGCCCTTCAAGGATCTGAAGACAACATTCTTCACCACTCTTTGAAGAATGTTCCTCTCCAGCTCCAAACCTATGGTCCCTGAGATCCCTTGCAGTTCTAGGCCTGAGACTCTGACTCCAAATACAGGCTAGATGCATCTTCTCCACAGTCTCCTCTATGTGCATGTGTCCAGAGAAATATTTCTACCTGGCTTAGCCCTGTGATTTCAGTGGCATCAGGACAGGTCAGCTCCCTCCGCCAAAGCAGGTCAGCACCAGCTCTAACTCAAGAGTCTTAGCTGCTAGGGGCGGTGAGAAGCCAAGCGCATGTTCCAGGGCTAGGTTAGAGGCGAGACGTGAAACTAGCTCTTACCGACGCCAAGGCTAACCCTTCTCTCTCTCTTCCCCCTCTGAGCTTCAGTTTCTTTAAGCTGTAAAAAGAGTGTAATACTTGAGCTATATTTTTGTAGTAGCCAAAAATCATAGGCTAATGGAGTGTCACCCTAATTTTGGTACATGAATGTAATAAACTATTATTGTGCCATAAGAAATGACAAAATGGCCAGTTTCACAGGGAAACTGGGAAGAACTGATGCAGAAATGAGCAGAACCAGGAGACCAATTTATACCAGGACAACAACAGTGTCCAATGAAGATCTACTTTGAAAGACCTTGCGATTCTGATCAATGCAACAATAAATGAACTCAGAATATGGAAGATGAAACATATCATTCACCTCCTATGAGAGGTGATAAACTTAAAATGAAGAATCAAGAAATACATTTTCATGCACGGTCAATTGGGGAAGTTGTTTCACTAGGCTCTGCAGGTTTAGAATGAGCCTTCCTTCTTTCCTTCCTTTTGTCGTTCAAGAAAGGGGAACGGGGGGGGGGGAGTAACAGATTGTAAATGCATGTAATAACAAAGTATATTTTTCTTTTTAAAAATTTACTGATATTTTTAGTTTTTACATCACCTTTTTAATTTAGAAAATAAATGCATGTAAAAATATAAATGCTTTTTAAACATGCATTAATTTTTTAAATAAAAAATGAAAGTGACAGAAAAACAAAAGGTATTAG